AGTCCTGTCTTTGCTGCCATGTTTTACGGTCATCTAGCCGAGAATAAACCAACTATCGACATACCAGACTGCACTAAGGAAGGACTACGAGAAATGCTTCGTTATGCACATTGTGAAGAAGCCAATCTAACCGGAAGTAACGTAATGGAGTTACTCTACCTCGCCAAGAAGTACATGATGCCATTCCTCGAAAAGAAATGCAAAGAATATCTCGAGACTGAAGTTGGTCCAGAAGATGTGTTCATTGTTTTACCACAAGTACAGAAAATGGGAGATGAAGACCTTCAAGAACATTTGTGGAAAATTGTTAACAACCAAACTGATCGAGCCATTTCTTGTGAATCATTTCTGGATGTATCTAAAGAACTGCTTTGCCAAGTGCTCGAAAGAGACAATTTTAGTGCATCTGAAGTGCATATTTTCGAAGCTGTTGATAAATGGGCCACCAAGCAGATTGATGAAAGAGAATTGGTTTGTGAAGGTGAAGCAAAAAGAGCCATTCTTGGAGAAGATCTCATTCGATTGATTCGATTTCCGCTTATGTCTCAAAGGGAGTTTGTTGAAATTGTACTTCCAAGTAAAATTCTGAATATAGATGAAATAACAGAGGTGCTTCAAACTTTTATTGGTATAACTGCTGCTACCACAGTATTTAATAACAAAAGACGCTTGCCTGAATCTTTCTTTGAACCGTTGATAACTAATTGTAGATTTAAAAAGATGGATCTTCTTGGATGGGGCTACAGCGGCGGATTACCAGATGCTATAAACCTTACTGTTAACAAAGATGTCAATCTGGTTGGTGTGCGATTATTTGGCTGCGAAGGTTCCAACTACGAAGTAGGATTGAAAATCACCGACAATTATGAATGCCTTGCCGAGTTATCATCCTCGTTCATGAGTGAAGAGATAGATGGTTTGTGCTATGGATTCACGGTAACCCTTGATAAACCTGTGCGTCTAGTCTYTGGTCATGTGTATAGATTGGAAGCTAGAATTAGTGGACCAGTCTCATATTATGGAATCGATGGTCAGGAAAGTGTAGATGCTGGAGATATTGTTGTAACTTTCTCTACTGCTTCTCCCCCTAATAACGGTACTGATGTTATCCAAGGTCAGTTTCGTTCGTTTATTCTACAACGTCTTTGATTGGAAAGGGGATACTTTGTATTCTGAGATGGTTTGAGAAGCAGATAACATATAGTCGCAAAAAACACGAATTAATTCCTCACATTTTTTGTTTTAAAGAATAGAATGTAGTTATACTAAGTTATCAGTTTTTACGGGTTGAAAACGTGAAATAATTTTCAAGGAAAATGTCTCATGGCGAGACTTGTTCGATGCCCGCAATAGTGTATCTCGTATATTAGTAGTGTTTGCTCGTCATTGAATTCAAACCACAATATATTTTGAATAGATTAATTACGCATGGAAACCCCGACATTCTCTTCAGGCTCAAGACTGTGGACTAGGTCGTGGTGACGACAACGTTTTTTGAAATAGGCACCCGTAGGCGTATCATCGCCAAGATAGCTAATGTAGCGTGAAGTCGGGCTATACATTGTAGCTAGCATAATATTGTATTTTTAGCATTTGATCGTTATATATTGGATTGCAAGTGCATGACATTGGAAAAATTCGCGCTCCTCGAAGGTTGTAAATATAATGGAAATATGATGTAAATTTAATTTCCATTATAATTACAAAGGTTGTAAATATCGTGTAAATGCCCAAAATGATGTAAATATCGTGTAATTTGGATTTACGCGATATTTACATCGTTTGGTTTTCATCATATTTCCATTAAAATTACATTCGTTTGTCAAAACGATGTGAATTTCATTGTAAATCGAATTTTCACCATTTTTACATCAAATTTACATCGTTTTTACATCGTTTTTTAATCAAATTTATAGCGCGATTTTTTCCAGTGTGAGCGTCAAACATCTTATTAGTTGGCTAGCCGTAAGCACGTGAATAAAAAAATAGGATTTTGAACAGCACATTAATTAATTAATCAATAAACTAGTTAAAGTAACGCATTCTTGTTTTCACTATATATTAGAAGTAATATAGACAGAATATTGCATGCTCGCTTGAAGATGCGAATTGTATCTTATCGTGTTAAAAATCTTTCAATTGTTCGCGTATAGATGCTTACGACGTAAGCCGGAAGTGAATTGAAAACAATAGAAAACAAAGGAATGGAAACGAGGCTTAAGGCTTAAGGTGGTGTTTAGATGGCAAATATCAAGGGATTCCATTCACCTGAATTCAAGAAAAATTGCTTGTCTGTAGGAAAAGGACATTTGCTTGCTTCTTGTGAAATTCGAAAAGAATATTTTTCAATCCCTAAGGTTACTCCCGGTTTATACCCGACTTCATGCTCTAAGAGTGTCTGGCTGTTTCTACTTTCCAATTTGTCGTTTATAAAATATTGTTGTTTATTGCAAGACTGGTTGTTGAGAAATAAAAATAATATACATTAAAATTGGTGTAAGTTCCTATTCACATCCGGCTTTACAAGGTAAACCAGCTTGGGATCCCTGTGGTCGAGTTGGTAAAGCAACATGAGGAACTATACGCGACGTTGCCAGATTCATATATAGAAGAGAAGGTAGAACTAAAGCCGGTCTAGCCATTGGCTAGCAAGACTAATAACCGTCTTAATTTTCAGATGATATTAATTTAGAACATCATCTGTTTAGATAGAAGTGGACCTTGTATAATGCAGCATAATTCCATTAAATAAATGATAGTTTAATTACCGTGTCCAGGCCGATCGAAGGCCTGCGGCACGGTTATAAAATGCAGCGACTTTATCATTTTATCATTTTTTCCACGTCGCAATCCCAAGGGACCCATAATCCAGAGTTCCAAGGTTCGATCCTCGACTGGAGCACGTCTGAAAAATTTTTCCCTTTTTCTTTCTTTCTTTCTTTTTTTAAACTAAAATATAGTTCAGCGTTCTAGTCATGTTAGATTACATATAAGACATAAACAGAAAGAAAGACTTTGTATAAAAATGAAAAATTCCAAAATTTTGTTTTAAATCATTTCAATCCGTGAACGAATTACAGCCTTTTAAAAGTTCTAGAATTTCCAAAGAAATATATACGAAGCCGCGACTATATCCGTATTTTATGGCCATTTTCCGGACACATTCACTAGATATCATTCAATTCTTTGGAAATTTAAAAACTGTAAACCCGTTCTTGAACAGATTTGAGAATTTTGCATTTGTCTTTTTTCTCTGTGAGTATTCTCGTCATTATCGATCAATCAGTTGTGACTATTAATTATTGACCGTCAAGGATTGAACTCGGTTGATAAAACAACTGTCATGATCAAGCTTTTTCTTGTCAGTATTAATACAGTATTAATACAATTCAGTCATTGTACTTTTGACATAATTATATATTCGAAAATGTCGTATTAATAAAAAAAGCTGACCCGAAACAGGAAAATAAACAAATGAAATGTTTTTATTTCTTATAACTGTTTCTGTCTCTGTCTTTTTTTATCAGCGCAGTTCACATATTTTCTTGTCTGATTATTTTGTACATGCAGTGTGAATCGGGACGTACACTTATCAAGAATTTCCATTGTTCACACAAAATAAAACCAAGATAAAATTACGTTTAGAATTGGGCGACTTGGGCTGCCTGTATCAAAATAATGAGCAATCGAGGAACGCCTGACAGAAAGCGCACTTCCAAGAATCGATCGGAGTTATAAACGAGTTGTTTGTACCCTGCGAGCAGAGGAATTTTTCCACTATCTATAGAAGGAGGTGGAACAATCCTCTGTTCGCAGGGTAAGTTGTTTGCTTTAATTATTCTTCTTTTTGCTATTTCTTCGCTTAATCGTTAGTCGCCTTTACTATCATCCTGAAACTATTGTATTGAAGAATCAAGATATGGNGAGTTCTCGGTTGCAGACGGCGATGGAAACAAAGTCACCGTTCCATCCAACAAGTACGTGCTGGCTACCACCAGTCCTGTCTTTGCTGCCATGTTTTACGGTCATCTAGCCGATAATCAAGTACCAACTATCGACCTACCAGACTGCACTAAGGAAGGACTGCAAGAAATGCTTCGTTATGCACATTGTGAAGAAGCCAATTTAACCGGAAGTAACGTAATGGAGTTARTCTACCTCGCCAAGAAGTACATGATGCCATTCCTAGAAAAGAAATGTAAAGAATATCTCGAGACTGAAGTTGGTCCAGAAGATGTGTTCATTGTTTTACCACAAGTACAGAAAATGGGAGATGAAGACCTTGAAGGACACTTTTGGGAAATTGTTGACAAGCAAACTGATCGAGCCATTTCTTCTGAATCACTTCTGGATGTGTCTAAAGAACTGCTTTGTCAAGTACTCAAAAGAGACACTCTTAGTGCATCTGAAGTGCATCTTTTCCAAGCTGTAGATATATGGGCCACCAACAAACAAATWGATAAAAGGCAATTGGTTTGTAATGGCGAAGCAAAAAGAGCCATTCTTGGAGAAGATCTCATCCGACTGATTCGATTTCCACTTATGTCTCAAAAGGAGTTTGTTGAAGTTGTTCTTCCAAGTAAAATTCTGAATATAGATGAAATAACAGAGGTGCTTCAAATTTTTACTGACATAAATCCTGTGGCGAACATCTTTAATAAGAGAAGACGAAGATTCAGTCCTGATATAGTGATATCAAGGTTTAGCAATTTTAGTCAACTATGGGATTACGATTACGATGGATCACCAGATGCTATAAACCTTACTGTTAACAAAGATGTCGATCTGGTTGGTGTTCGATTATTAGGCAGTGTGAAGGATGCTCCAACTACAATGTGACATTGAACATCATAAATAATAATACTGAATGCATTGCCGAGTTATCGTCCTCGTTCATGAGTGAAGAGATAGATGGCTTGTACTATGGATTCACGGTAACCCTTGATAAACCTGTGCGTCTAGTCTCTGGTCAGGTGTACACATTGAGAGCTGGAATTCGTGGACCAATCTCATATTGTGGACTTGATGGCCAGGAAAGTGTGCATATTGGAGATATTGTAGTAAATTTTTCAACGGCTCCTTTTATGAGCTGCACTAGTGTTGACAAAGGTCAATTTCCTTCGTTGATTTTACAGCATCTGTGATGCAGAGGTACCTAAAGACAGTTTGTTTGGTCAGTTGTCACAAGGATGTAACTAGCGAGTACCGGCTGCAAATCGTGACAATAAAATTGTCGGTCTTGATCACTTTGGTATATACCTATCACTAAGCTCACTACTCACAGTTCAAAA